TCTAGGTAGCGTTTCCTTTTTCTTCAATCTCCCTAAACCTTGTTTAATCCATTTAATCAATCTCTAGGTAGGTTATTGTTGTTTTCCTCTGTAAAAATTTTTGCCTTCAATCTCCTGAACCTTGTTTCGCTATCCATTTACTCAATCTCTAGGTAGGTTATGCGTTGTTTTCCTTGTCCCTCTTTGCCTTCAATCTCCTAAACCTTGTTCTGCTATCCATTTACTCAAGCTCTCTAGGTAGGTTTAGGTTCCTTTCCCTATGTCCCTTGTTTTCCTAGGAACCTTGTTGCCTCAATCCAGTTTCGCTATTTTATCCTCTAGGTAGGTTAAATGTTGTTTTTGTCCCTCTTGCCTTCAATTCCTGAACCTTGTTTCGCTATCCATTTTCAAATCTCTAGGTAGGTTATGAACTCTGTCCCTCTTGCCTTCAATCTCCTGAACCTTCAACTCTTGTGAAGATAATAGGTTATGCGTTGTTTTAATTGTCCCTTGCTTCAATCTCCTAAATTTTGTTCCTCATCCATTTACTCAATCTCTAGGTAGGTTATGCGTTGTTTTTTTCCTCTTGCCTTCAATCTCCTGAACCTTGTTTTGCTATCCATTTTCAATCTCTCTAGGTAGGTTAAACTCTGTCCCTCTTGCCTTCAATCTCTAAACCTTGTTTCTGCTATCCATTTACTCAATCTCTAGGTAGGTTATGCGTTGTTTTCCTCTGTCCTTTTGCCTTCAATCTCCTAAACCTTGTTCTGCCATCCATTTACTCAATCTCTCTAGGTAGGTTATGCGTTGTTTTTTTCCTCTGTCCCTCTTTGCCTATTCAATCTCCTAGGTAACCTTGTTTCGCTGATCCATTTACATCAATCTCTTAGGTAGTTTATGCGTTGTTTTCCTCTGTCCCTCTTGCCTTCAATCTCCTAAACCTTGTTTTGCTATCCATTTACTCAATCTCTAGGTAGGTTATGCGTTGTTTTCCTCTGTCCCTCTTGTTTTCAATCTCTGTCTTCAATCTGAACCTTGTTTGCCATCCATTTACTCAATTTCTAGGTAGGTTATCGTTGTTTTCTGTCCCTCTTGAAGCAATCTCCTAAACCTTGTTTTGCCATCCATTTACTCAATCTCTCTAGGTAGGTTGTGTTGTTTTCCTCTGTCCCTCTTGCCATCCTTCAATCTCCTAAACCTTGTTTCGCTATCCATTTACTATCCAATCTCAATCTCTAGGTAGGTTTGTGTTGTTTTCCTCTGTCCTCTTGCCTTCAATCTCCTAAACCTTGTTTCGCCATCCATTTACTCAATCTCTCTAGGTAGGTTATGCGTTGTTTTCCTCTGTCCCTCTTGCCTTCAATCTCCTAAACCTTGTTTCGCTATCCATTTACTCAATCCTCTAGGTAGGTTATGCGTTGTTTTCCTCTGTCCTCTTGGTTTCAATCTCCTAAACCTTGTTTCGCCATCCATTTACTCAATCTCTAGGTAGGTTATGCGTTGTTTTTCTGTCCTCTTGCCTTCAATCTCCTAAACCTTGTTCCGCCATCCATTTTCAATCAAAAGTCCCTCTTGCCTTCAATCTCCTCAAACCTTGTTTGCTATCCATTTACTCCTCTAGGTAGGTTATCCCTCTGTCCTCTTGCCTTCAATCCTAAACCTTGTTCCGCCATCCATTTACTCAATCTCTCTAGGTAGGTTATGCGTTGTTTTCCTCTGTCCCTCTTGTTTTTCGCTATCCATTTTCAATCTCTCTAAACCTTCAATTCCTTGCCATCCATTTACTTCAATCTCTCTAGGTAGGTTATGCGTTGTTTTCCTCTGTCCTCTTGCCTTCAATCTAAAATTAAACCTTGTTCCGCCATCCATTTACTCAATATATATCTAGGTCCTAAATATGCGTTGTTTTAGGTTTCTGTTTCTTTGTCCCTCTTCAATCTCTTAAACCTTGTTCCGCCATCCATTTACTCAATCTCTCTAAGGTTATGTTTTACTGTTTTCCCTTTTCCATCTTGCCTTCCAATTCCTAAACCTTGTTCCTAAATCATCCATTTAAATTCTCAATCTGTTTTTCTGGTAGGTTATCTCCTAAACCTTGTTTGCCATCCATTTTCCTTAGGTTGTCCCTTTCCTCTTGTTTCCCTCTTCAATCTCCTAAACCTTGTTCCGCCATCCATTTACTCAATCTTCTATGCGTTGTTTAGGTGTCCCTCTTGTCAATCTCCTAAACCTTGTTCCGCCATCCATTTCTTTCCCTATTTGAATTCAATAAAAATGCCTTAAACCTTGTTCCGCCATCCATTTACAGAAATCTCTCTAGGTAGGTTATGCGTTGTTTTCCTCTGTCCCTTGCCTTCAAATCTCCTAAACCTTGTTCCACCATCCATTTTACTCAATCTCTCTAGGTAATTTTATGCGTTGTTTTCCTCTGTCCATCTTGCCTTCAATTCCTAAACCTTGTTTCGCCATCCATTTACGAAGAATCTCTCTAGGTAGGTTATGCGTTGTTTTCTTTCCATCTTGCCTTCAATCTCCTAAACCTTGTTCCGCCATCCATTTACTCAATCTCTCTAGGTAGGTTATACGTTGTTTTCTTTTTTCCCTCTTGCCTTCAATCTTAAACCTTGTTCCGCCATCCATTTACTCAATCTCTAGGTAGGTTATGCCTTGTTTTCCTCTGTCCCTCTTGCCTTCAATCTCCTAAACCTTGTTCCGCCATCCATTTACTCAATGTCTCTAGGTAGGTTATGCGTTGTTTTCCCTCTGTCCTCTTTTAAAAAAAATCCTAAACCTTGTTCCACCATCCATTTACTCAATCTCTCTAGGTAGGTTATGCATTTAAAATTTCCTCTGTCCATCATTTTGCCTTCAATCTCCCTAAACCTTGTTTCGCCATCCATTTTAAATCTCTCTAGGTAGGTTATGCGTTGTTTTTCTCTCCTTTTGCCTTCAATCTCCTAAACCTTGTTCCGCCATCCATTTACTCAATCGAAACTAGGTAGGTTATGCGTTGTTTCTCCTCTGAAATCTTGCCTTCATTTCTCTTAAACCTTGTTATATCCATTTACTCAATCTAACAGGTTATATATAATTTTTCATTTTCCCTCTTTATCTGACACTTTCTAAACCTTGTTCCGCCATCCATTTACTGGGAATCTCTCTAGGTAGGTTATGCGTTGTTTTCCTCTACGTATCTTGCCTTCGATTCTCCTAAACCTTGTTCCGACATCTCTCTAGGTAGATTATGCGTTGTTTTTCTTCTCTCCGTTTTCTTTAATCTTTGTCGATGTTCTCTTCTTCGGCATCCTTCTCAGCATCCTTCTTTCAATCCACATTACTGTTGCTTCATGTTTCTTCTTCATCCGTAAGAATATTGTCCAGCAAGTAGGATCGGACTCACTACTCAGCCGTAAATGATCTAGCGAGGCACGCTTGCTAACAATTACACCACGTCCAAGTGCCACAAGTATTTTGTAGGATGTAACTTAGATGTGGCACAAGGCCGAATATAAAGAGCGACACTGAGGACCGAACTCACTATTCAGTCGTAATTGATATAACGAGACAAATTTCCTGACTATTAAATCGCGTTGAAGTGAGTGTGTCTTTGTTTATGTGTGCGTGTGTGTGGTGTGGTTCAGTATACTTTAGATGTGGCACAAGGCCAACGGTATGGGTGACCCAGTGAAGACCGAACTTAATTCTCAGTCGTAATTGATCTGGTGAGACAAGCTTTGTAACCATTAAATCACGTCGAAGTGTCCATTATTTGCTTCTGTATTTCGATTTCTATCTTCTTTTTTTTTCTGATTTTTTCTCCGTCTATCTCTCTTTATTTTTTTTTCTTTTGTGTGTACGCATGCGCAAAGTGAGAAAAGAAACAGGCGTCCTTGTACACGCATTCATCAACATCTCGCCCATCTGACGAAATGACCGCTATTACAGGTGGGATTCTGGGAATATATGCTTCCTTCTGCCTACTCGTGCTACCTAATTCAATTCCACCATCAGGAAATATTTTCTTGTTGACTGAATTTCATTTTCGCACAACACGTGATTGGTTCACGCATTTCGCCGTCAGAAGAGGAATTAATCACTGCCCAGATGCACGTAGACAAGTGGCTAGCTCGTTCGTTTTCCCAACCCTCAGTTCGAATCACGCCATGGTCGATTATTGTCAGGAAGGCGACTTCTTGAAGGCGATCCGAGCGTGTGGCAACGTTTGGAAAGTGCCTGAAAAAAACCCTACCACGGGTTGACTCAAACCCTGCTAGCGAAATTCGGTAGACGGGAAGCCGTCGGTGATTGTACTAGCTCAATGTCACAAGTCATCGTGGCCGATGTTTTGAACGTACCGGCCTTGTTCAGACTGTTGATAACGCCAGCTAAGGCACTCGCTCCCAGAAAATGTAACTACAGTCCTCTCAGCATAGTTGTAGTATAAACCACAGGTGTGCTCTGAGGGTGCTGAACAGATAAAAATGTGCCTGAGCAGGCCTCTGCCACAGGGATTTGCTAAAAATTCTATACAGACAAGCATACTCAGGTGCATCGGAATTAAAACTGCACATTATAAGGAATTCTTGCTGCATCGATAAAAATATGTCAGGGCTTTTAATAAGAAAAAAAATTTAGGAAAATGGCAATATTAAAAATAATAAAACGTTTAGAGAAATAACAGAAACAAAGCCACTTGAGAACTATCAACAGCAGCAACCACTAAAAAGGATAGCACAAAGAGATATTAATGACATAATCAAGATGTAGATATTCTACATTACTTCAAATAAAAAATAAAAAAAACATCCATCATTACCCGAAAGAGCGATAACAGCTACTGGACTTGAGAAACCTAATTTTCTAAAAAATGTCTTAAGAGAAAGATTTGACAAACTTCTAAAAAACTGGCTGTTCGGTTAATGGATGCCAAAATTTCCTACCCATTATTTATCTCATCAATCCATCTATCTATCTCCGTCTAAATCTATCTATCTATCTATCTATCTATCCATCATCCATTAATGGATCTATTCAAATCTATCCATCCATCCAACAATCCATCGAATCTATCCATCTATCTCCGTCTATTCATATCCATCCATCCATATCATCTATCTATCTATCTATCTATCATCCATCACTTTGTTCTGTTTGTTCCATCCATCCATATCTAAATCATCCATCCGTCTAATCACATCCATTCCATTCATGTTTGTTCCATCCATCCATCATATCTATTTTTTAATCTAAATCTATATCTATTTATCATCCATCTATCATCCATCTATCTATCATCCATTATCCTATCTCCATCCATCCATCTCTATCACATATCATATATCATCCATCTATCAGAAAATCTATTATCTATATCCATTCTATCATATCTATCTATCCATCTAAAATCCACATTCATTCACATCTATCTATTATCTATCCATCCAAAAATCTAAAATATCTCATCCATCCATCTATCCATCCATCCATCTATCTAGGCCCGTCTATTCATATCTATCTATCTATCTATCTATCTATATATCTATCTATTCTATCTATCTATTCATCTATCTAATATCTATCACATGTATCTATCTATCTATCATTATCTATCTATCTATCTATCTATTCATCTATCTATATCAACTCATCTATCTATCTATATCTATCTATCTATCTCTTTCTATTACATCTATCTATCTATCTATCTATCTATCTATCTTCTATTTATATATATCTATATTTTCTATCTATCTATCTATCATCTATCTATCTATCTATCTACAAAATGTTTGTTATCTATCTATCTATCTATTCATCTATCTATCTCCGTCTATTCATATCTATCTATCTATCTATCTATCTATCTATCTATCTATCTATCTAATCCTGTTCGTTATCTATCTATCGATCTATCTCCTTATTCTGTTCGTTATCTATCACATTCTGTTCGTTATTTTTTATATCTATCTCATTCTGTTATCTATCTATCTATCTATCTATCTATCTATCTATCTATCTCTGCTTATGTATCTATCTATCTATCTATCTATCTATCTATCTATCTGTCTTTTCCAGAACAGGAACTATGATCTGGAATTCTCATGAAAGCAATCATGGCACATACTCAGTGTCCACCATAAAATCAGGAGTCTAGTAAATACAAAACACTTCAGATACCTCGGCGTTTAGTTCACCGTAACAAATTTAGTATAGGAAATAAGGAAATTGAATATCGAATTGGCTGTTTACCGGAAGTAGTTCCTCTCAACACCGCAAATAAATACAGAACGTAAAAATCAACCTAAAATATCGAGTCATGTCCTTAAATAACTTCGTCAGATTTAGACTTCCACATGGATGTCATGCATATCGCCAAACCTGTTCAGAAATACCTAAACTGTCAGTTGTATACAACCGCTTCCTAAGTCCAATGTTTAAAAAAAGACTTTGAGTAAGTGAAGTCTGTGAGTCTTGGCGAAGATTCTTCTTCCCAGAACATTGTGCATTGGCACTACGCATTCCTAAAGAAATGTGCCAGATAACAAAAATCGCATGACTTAAAGACTACCAACAGCAGCAACAACTAAAATGAATAACACATCTAACGAGAAGATACTGACATAATGAAGATGTTGACGTTCCACACGACTTCTAAAGAAAAGGTTAAGAGGAAGGAAAAGAACTAACAGTGGACTTGTTGAAACATTTGACCATTATAGACTGGCGCTATAGAATCATAAACAAAGATAAGAGAAGCCATATCAGTTGAGGACTTTCAAAAGCAGCAACAACTAAAACGGATAGCACATGTAACTCGAAAAGAAGATAATGACCTAATAAAGATGTTGACATTCCAAACTACTTCAAAGAAAAGGTTGGGAGGAAGGAAAAGAACTAAGAGTTAGTGGACTTGGAGAAAAATGTAGCCATTGTAGACTGGCGCTACAGAATCACAAACAAAAATAAGAGAAGCCATATCAGTTGAGGACTTTCAAAAGCAGCAACAACTAAAACGGATAGCACATGTAACTCGAAAAGAAGATAATGACCTAATAAAGATGTTGACATTCCAAACTACTTCAAAGAAAAGGTTGGGAGGAAGGAAAGAAAGAGTTATTGGACTTGGAGAAAATGTAGCCATTGTAGACTGGCGCTACAGAATCACAAACAAAAAATAAGAGAAGCCATATCAGTTGAGGACTTTCAAAAGCAGCAACAACTAAAAACGGAGCATGTAATCGAAAAGAAGATAATGACCTAATAAAGATGTTGACATTCCAAACTACTTCAAAGAAAAGGTTGGGAGGAAGGAAAAGAACTAAGAGTTAGTGGACTTGGAAAAATTAGCCATTGTAGACTGGCGCTACAGAATCACAAACAAAAATAAGAAAAATATATCAGTTGAGGACTTTCAATAGCAGCAACAACTAAAAATGGTTAGCACATGCAACTCGAAGAGAAGATAACGACATAATAAAGATGTTGACATTCCAGACTACTTCAAACAAAAGGTTAGGTGGAAGGAAGACAACTAACAGTGGACTTGGAGAAACATTTGACCACTGGGAACTGGCGCTACATAATCACAGACAAAGGAATGTGACAGATAAGAGACGCCATATCAATTGAGAAATTTTCAGTAGAAGCTGCTAATAAAATGCATAGCACATGTAACTCGAAGAGAAAATGATGACATCATCAAGATGGTGACATTCCACACGATTTCAAAGAAAAGGTTGGGAGGAAGGGAGAGAACTATCAGTGGATTTGGAGAAATATTTGACTCTTGTGGACTGGCACCACAGAATCATAATCAAAGAAATGTACCAGATAAGAGAAGTCACATCAGCTGAGGACGTTCAACGGCAGCAACAACTAACTTGAAACTTGAAGAGATTGTAACGACATAATCAAGATGTTGACATTCCACACGACTTCAAAGAAAAGATTGGAAAGAAGGAAAAGATGTAAGAATTAGTGGACTTAGAGAAACATTTGATTATTGTGGACTGGCGCTACACTATCACCAAGAAAGATATGTACCAGATAAGATAAGCCAAGCCACATCAGTTGAGGACTTTCAACAGCAGCAAGAAATAAAATGGATCGCACATGTAACTCGAAGAGAAAATAATGACATAATCAAGATGTTGACATTCCAGACTACTTGAAAGAAAAAGTTAGGAGGAAGAAAGAGAACTGTCAGTTAGTGATTTGACTATTCTGGACTGGTGCTACAGAATCGCAAACAAAGATAAGAGAAGTCATATCAGTTGAGGACTTTCAATAGCGGCAACAATTAAAATGGATAGCACATGTAAATCGAAGTGAAAATAAGATGCAGGCATTCTACACTACTTCAAATAAAAGGTTAGGAAGGAAACTCCCTTTAATACTCGAAAATAGTGTTTCGGAAAAAAAAACAACGAGTTTAAGTTAGATTTTGTGAAATTGTATCTCTGATAAAAACGTAAGTATATAAGTTCGTTTGACGATCTACAACATTATCAAGAAATTTGTCGGATGTTTAAAAACACATTGCTGTACACCTTTACAATACTGGAAGTCTACTAAAACACACCTAACAAAAATAAGAGAAATCGTCTCACTTGAAGACTAACAACAGCAGCAAAAACTAAAAAGTATAGCACATATATCTCGAAGTGAAAATAAGGATATAATCAAAATGCAGACTTTCTACACTACTTTAAATAAAAGGTTAGGAAGGAAACTTCCTTCAGTAATCGAAAATAGTGTTTTAGAAAAGACCAACGTTTTATACGAGTTTAAGTGAGATTTTATGAGATTGTATCTCTGCCAAAAACTTAAGTATATATGTTGGTTTGATGATCCACAACATTATCAAGAAATTTGTCGGATGTTTAAAAACACATTCCTGTACACCTTTACAATACTGGAAGTCTACTAAAAACACACCTAACAAAAATAAGAGAAATCGCCTCACTTGAAGACTACCAATTGCAGCAACGACTAAAAAGGACAGCACATGTACCTCGAAGTTAAAATAATGATGATGACTTTCCACACTACTTCAAGTAAAAGCGTAGGAAGGAAGTCGCCGTGAATACCGGAAATAATAAATTGTTTATCTGACATTATATATTAACGTACGTTATTGTTAGTGCGCACACATATTTTAGTTGGTATATAATATATAATTACAACTCAAATACATGTACCAACTAAAATAATATACGTATGTGTGTGTCTTTGTATATATGTACATATATGTATATATACTACTCGATTCTCCTGTCGAATTCGACGTATGAGGGTCAAGCAGATCAGCACATGAGATTTGATTAAAGTGGTGAAGGTTTCGTGCAGGACCATCCACACTTTTTGAAGGGCTGATTACAGAGACCTGGTGCACTACATGCCACAAGGTTCCCAAACGAACCTGCGCAGGTTTTGAATTCAGAGTCGTCCTTCTCCTAGACCAGTTGCCATCCAAGGCTATAGAACCCAGTCTGTCCTGCTATTTACCCATAGCTGGAAGGAGAAGAGGATTCATACCTTTACGAAGGGTATTAGCACGTAATGTAATGAATTCGACTGAAATTCGAACTCAAATTTAAAATGATTCCTCAATCCAAGTGCTATCCATTACTCAACTGTGCCTCCTACATATATATATATATATATATATATATATATATATATATCTTAATGTGTGTGTGTGTGTGTGTGTGTGTTATTTTGCGCGCGCACGCGCGCTGCTGAAAGGTGATCCCATTGGTAAAACCGAATTTTTTGGCCATAGAGGTGGTTATCAGAATTAAATCTTTAATATTGCTTGGTGATTAGCTGTTATATGCTTAATTTCTGTTTTTGTTAGGTTTGTTTTTAGTAGACTTCCAGTATTGTAAAGGTGTACAGGAATGTGTTTTGAAGTATCCTACAAATGTCTTGATAATGTTGTGGTCGTCAAACTAACATATATCCTTACGTTTTTGTCAGAGATACGCTCTGCCAAAAATTCATTTAAGATTGTATAAAATGTTGGTCTTTTCCAAAACACTAGTTTCGCGTCGTTTCCTTCTTAACTTTTTATTTGAACTAATGTAGAATGTCTGCATCTCCAAGAGTCATTCAATAAATAAGGTGAATTTTTCGGTATAAGGACTTCTAATACAGATAGAAGCTTACTTTTTTTTTATTTTTCAACGTAGTCTCCCAGCACTGTCACACACTTTTTTCCCATCTGTGCACAAGCTTCCGTATTCCTCAGCGTAAAAAATCTTTGGACTGATGTCTCAGCCAGTCGCTCACAACACTTTTGACTTCATCGTCACTTTTAAACTTCGTGCCTCTCGTGAACGCTTTCAAGGGACCAAACAGGTGAAAGTCTGAAGGGGGGCAAAGTCTGGGCTGTAAGGGGGGATGAGGGAGCAGTTCCCAGATCAGCTCGTTGATGGTCTGCACCGTTTGGGCTGCTGTGTGAGGCCTTGCGTTGTCATGATGTAAGATGACTCCTTCTGACTGATGACCCCTGCGTTTGTTCTTTATGTCTTTCTTTACCTTCTCAGCAGTTCACAGTAGTTCTTCTGTCAGACTGAATGAGGTCATTGACTGTTTCGATCACCTCAGGAGACCTCACTTCTGTAGGCCTCCCAGGCCTGTCTTCATCCTCAACACTGCTCCGTCCTTCTTTAAACAATTTAGCCTACTTGTAGACATTTTTTGGGGGGCTGAAAGATGTGGCACCATATACAGGTGACATTCTCCTATGAATTTCAACTGGTTTACAACCTTCAGCAACCAAAAACTTGATAACTGACGGCTGTTCAGTCCTTATACCGAAAAATTCACCTAATTTATTGAATGGCCATCGTAGATTATACCCTTATTTTCACTTCGGGGCACATGTGCTATCCTTTTTAGTTGTTGCTGCTCTTGGTAGTCTTCAAGTGAAGCGATTTCTATTATTTGGCACACTTCTTTGTGAACGTGTAGAAACAATGCACAATATTCCAAGAAGAAGGATCTTTGCCAAGACCCACAGGCTTCACTCGCTCAAAGCCCTTTTTTTTACCATTCTTCTTAGAAAGCGGTTTTATACAGCTGA